TCAAAGAAGAGAAGGTAAAACTCCTAGCTGGAGCGACATTACATTTGGACTATAGAGCAACCAAAAAAAAAAAAAAAAAAAAAAGTTATGATCTAGCATCTCAGTCTGATCAGATCGAATACGAGATCCCCTTGAGTCCAGTCTGATCAGTTTTGTGGGCATATAGCAAATTCAGACAACAAGTAACGACCTGCAACAATGGAGAATTGTATAAGGTGCGAGTCAAGCCATGGACTGTGCGGTAGAAGTACACAAAACGTCTCAGCCAAGATCCCTTCAACAGCGAGTGCTCTAACCAAAGAGTAAAACTTTGCATCCCAGACAAAAAGAGAATGATCAGACATCAAACAGACTTGGGCCTAAGGGCCCCTTCTTGCTTCGACCCGGTCCCACTGGGTACCCAAAAGGTCCCAAGTAGGTCGTGACCAAGTCCCAACCAAGAGAAGTCCCGCATGGACCTACTTTCTGCCTCTACCGAACTGGAAAACGAATTTCAACTTCAGAGAGAACCTACAATCTACACCCGTTCAGAGACAAAAAGACAATGCACTATAGAAGATTTGGCGTCCAAAGCAAGGTACTTCATCTCTTCATCCATCAGGTGAGAAAGCAGTCTGCAGACTCTTACACACAATCAAGACCACAGTGGAGTAGGAAAAGAAACCTAGAATAACCCTAACAGGACAGTCAATACCATGCACACACATACATGGGCATCTCATAGGTGCACGGTACTTACCTGAGTGGCCTGAGCTTCGAGATGAATAGAACTCACCCCCCTCTCATATGGTCCTCCTGACCCCCTTAACGCTACCCCTACACTAGTGTCCTATCTACTAGGAGGGTCTGACTCCAACACCAAAGTGCAACGCCGGATCCCCCGCCGATTTTGAAGATCAAAGTAACAACTTGCAGTCTGTAGATGCAGAATGGCTACCTCCCTCAAGCTCGCCTACTTGAGGGAGGCCCTAAAGTGGCCAAGTGTCTCCCTTAAGTCAGATTCCAAGTTCGAGTGCCTCTCACTGTCGCCTCTCCCAGATTGTCGCACAAAGTCTTCTCGAAGTGTCTCACCACCCCAGACTTACTCTCTAGCAACGTGGTCAGGTCCAATGTCGACCCAGCACGACCTAACTACGTGGGGGCAGCTTCCCTTTACCACGCTGCCCCACTTCAGCTTCCAGCCCTAACCCTAAGTGGTAGCCCTCCACTTAGGTTAGGGTTGGAGCAGCAAAGTCAACTCTCGCCAGCAAGTAGAATCCGCTCTGACACAAATGTTACGATCCTCGTCAATTTCGAAGTACAATATTCATGACAAAGCACAATGCCGTCCAAGTGCAAAAGAAATTAATAAACTTGAGAGGAGAGAGAGGAAAGAAGAAGAAGAAGAAGAAGAAGAAGAAGAAGAAGAAGAACAAGAACAAGAACAAGAAGAAGAAGAAGAAGAGGAGGAAGAAGAAGAAGAAGAAGAAGAAGAAGAAGAAGAAGAAGAAGAAGAAGAAAGAAAGAAGAAGAAGAAGAAGAAGAAGAAGAAGAAGAAGAAGAAAGAAAGAAGAAGAAGAAGATGTGCACCAGCAAAGACAAATGATAACTCCCTTCTTCTCACCAATCACTCTCCTCCTCCTTATCTCCTCCCCTTTTATTCACAATAAATAATAATAATAATGTTGAATGGGCTGAACCAGAGTCAATGACTGAATCCCTCTTCTACTGCTTGGCATAACATGAGGTCCACCATAGCCATGGCCGCTGCCTCCTTCCTCTTCGTGAAGGCCGAGGCTATGGCGGACTACTAGGGCCTTTTTTCCCTCTGTACAAAAGACAACTCAAAGCAGCTATGGCTGCTCCTGCTCAGGCCGCCATGCCTGACTCTGCTTCGAAGCTTCTTGATGTAGCTCTACCCCAATGGGGCCTCCCAGATGCAGCACCCGCCTAGGTGATGAAGATGGCATCCACCATAGCCAGGTAAGTACCTCTGGTGCTCCCTCTTCCTAGTCCTCGTCTTCCTCCTCCTCCAGCCCGGGCTCCTCCACCATAGCCAAGGTGGGGAGCTGGGCGCACCGCAGCGGTGCTTCACCCAGCGCTGCTCCAGCCAGCGCTCCAGCTGCACCCGCAGAATGAGGAGGACCACTTCGCTCCTGGAGATATAGCGGCCTGCTTGCCTCTTGGGCGGTGACTTCCAGGCTGCGCGGCCTCCGAGCAACCAGTATCTCCTCCCTTTCGGAGGGAAACATCTTTGCAGACTCTGATATTGCCCCTACAGGCCCTAGACTCAGACTACTTGGACAGGCACCCACCTAGACCTAGCCTACAACCACTGGGCCTAAAAAATGCCATGTTTAGTCTTCTTCTGGTCAGCCTTGAGTACCCAACACATCTACCGCTACTCGGTGTGGTACTGGCCTACCTGCTACGTGACTGTTTTTCCGCTGCTTCAAGTGTCGCGGGCCTCTTTCCCCGCCACTTGAGTGTTTTCCCCACTGCAACCCTCAATGTCATGGCCAAAGGTAAGTACCGGCCCTTCGGGCCTCCCGCACGAACGGGCACCCTTGGGGGTCACACAGACACTCTAACCGACAAGCACTCAGACAGGCACGCAGACCAGCAAGCATGCACACACACGCAGACTTAGAAAACTCAGCAACAAGTGGGAAACTCAGCCAGGCATACATTCCATTGGCAAAACTCAGAAATCAGCTGCGTGTCTCAGTCCATGTTTGGCAGGTCCTTACAGTCTAGTCTAGTCATTCTCACAACATATATGATTGCTGGTATGAAGAACTATGTTCCATGCGAGGGCTACTCGTTACTATGGCTCCAGTGACACATTTCTAAGTCCTGCTGTACGTGCCCTAGTAAACTATGGAATGTGCCATAGGGCTCTCACGCAAAAATGTAGCACTGAGCTTTTTGCAGTGCTTCGTGCCTTTGAAATTGTGCCTGGCTGCGTGTGTTTAGAGATTTTTTAACGACAAAGGAGCAAAGCCCGTACCTCTCCATTTTTTCGGAAACCGAAAGGAACTACTATTACTGCTTGTTGGTTGACTGGTATGAGCACATGCTTCAGCATGTTGTGCTTAGCAGTTGCAAAGTCCCTCTGATAGTAACTGATTCAAATCGTACCATTGGCATCCTTATTAATCACAAAGCAGCCTTGCCACAGCCAAAAACAGTTGTGCTAACTGAACTTTGCAACACGGAACTTACCCCAGGGTGCTGCAACACCTTCCAGCGTAGGTAGTACCCCTCCGATCCATGTGCTCAGAACACCATAGACCTTTCCATGACCAACAGTAGAGTAGACAATACGATCTCTTGGGTCATCATTGAACTGAAAATATGCAAAGAGGCGAGATGAGTATCTTGGATAAAGTCTTGTGAGCATTCCATGGGGATTATTTTTATCACCAAAAGGCACCGTTCGGCGGTTGTAGATACGCAGCTCATCAAGGTATCCAGTAAATGCAGATCCTTGCTGAAGACCACCACCAAGAAGCAGATCCGTTTCATCGCGTGGGCTTTCAATATCCTGCAATCATTGAAACAGAAACATTAAACATAAGCTTATCTGACCTCTATAGCTCCGAGCAACTTCAAGTACATGTGTGCCAAAAGTTGGAGAATCTCTTGCACAAGGTTTCTCAAAGACTGTACAACATAGAAATGCCAAGAATCAAGCAGAAGTTGCTAATGGGTCGAGCCTCGTACAAATTCCCACAAAGCTGCCTGTTCGGCTCCTGCAGCCATGTGTTTAATACTTTCCGCCTCCTGCAGCAATAGAATCCCTGGCTGTACCTATTGGACCATGTGGCCCCAGTTGCCAGCAACTGGGCGTCCTCAATTCCAGGGGACGGATCCATCCTATGCTAGTCAAGGGAAGCCTGAGTATAAAGTAAGGCTAACAAAGGGAATCATTGATTAGTGATGTCATGCAGAAAGCTCAAACTTGCAGTAAAAATCAGAATTAGTTGGCATGCAATCCTGAAAAGGAGTATCCGGGTCTTTGGAGTTTCATGGACATGGGTAATTACCTGAGGGCAAGTAACTGCAATAAAGCCACACCACCGCGGGCAAGGGTCCTCACTTTTGGTCAAAGGCCGGAAGCAAGGCTCAAGGATCACGTCCCAAGCCTGGAAATTGTCTAGGAAAGGGCCAAGGGGTATCAGGGCCTGGGTTAAAAACAGCGTCCACAGCCCCCACGCTAGGTAGGTGAGTCCTGGAAAATAAAGAGTCTGACCAAGCAAAGCCAAGCAGGCCCAAAGTCAAAGTCAACCCCGTGGTCAGCCCTGGTGTTGCATACCGTAACGGTGCAGACCAGAACAAGAACCGACCCCTCTCACGAAGTACAAGATAGCGTAGCGGAAGACTTAGATACCAATGATCCGAACAATCAATATTGCAATGCAGCCCCGAACATACATCATCATCATCATCACTCCATGGTGTGAAGGGGTCTGGCGCTCACACAGGAAGAATGCGCCAGCCCCAACCATACACAGACGAAGAAGAGGGGGGTTAGACGAAGAAGAGGGGAAGATGGGAATGTCGTCAACACCAAGTCTTCGGCACAAGCCCAAATAGTCCCTCGTCAAAATGTCTGAATCCAAATGTCGAGTCTGGATCCAATGTCGTCAAGTCTCAAGTCACAACTCTCTCTCTCTCTCTCTGTCCTGTACTAAGCTGTGAAGCTGGCGCCTTGATGCAGGTACCTCGAAGATGGAGCTGGAGCTATGGTGCCACAGGTAAGTCTCGCTGGCCTCCGCCAGCCATCTCTCTCCAAGACTACCACTACCACTACTTAGCGCCCTGCGCTGAAGACTACTCCTGCAGCTACTAGCGCCAGCGCTGAAGACTACTGCTAGCGCTAAGCTACTCCTGCAGCGCTCCTCCAGAGTGCTGCGGCCGAATCCTGAAGACTGCCTCCTGCCTTCTGTCCAACTACCTACCCGTGAAGTGCATGGGAACTCCCTATGTACTACTCGGCCTGCCTCCTGACTGCAGGGCGAGGCAGTCCAGGAGGCTGCTCTTGCCAATGCCAGGGCAAACCAGGGGCTGGCGCTGCAGCTCCTGCGGAGGCTGGCGTGGGGAACAGGCCAAAAATAGCCTGTTCCCAAAACCCTGGTTTGTTGCCTGAGTTCTACGGCAGGACGATCTTATGAGGGCCCGAAAGTGGCCCTCCGTTTCAGGCTGAAAAGACTCAGGGCTGAAAAGCCCTGTTTTAGGCTGAAAACGAAATAGGGCCTGCAGGCCCTTGTTTTCAGTTTTCAGGCTGAAACGACATGGGGCCTGTAAGCCCTTATTTCTAGGCTTTTAGGCTGAGAATGTGGGACGGGCCCTGCAGGCCCCTGTGGCTACGCAGTATGCCACACCCCCCCCTCCTTGAAAGACCGAGCTTGCCTGCGAGGGTGAAGCTGTCTGTCTAAGGGAGGGACCACAGTCCGGGTGGGAGGGGCAGGTCGTGAAGGTCCCTGAGCTAACCTTTGTCGCTCGTAGTGAGCGTAGATCAGCGGTGCGGATGCTTTCAAATCTGTTCCTGAAATCCACCGAGTGTCGTCGGGATCGCATGCTTTGAATGTAACTTTGTACTGTCGAGGCTTGCTGCCGTACTTGCGATCCGTGATGACGCGGT